ATGTTTTCTCAGTCGAATAACTTAAACACACGAAAATGAGATGGAAATAAGCTGTAGTGAACCGTAACAAATATGTGGTAACAAACATTGCTCCACGTTGCTAGCGGATGACACGAGCGTCACACGTCTAGTAGTGAGAAGGTTTGAAAGGGAAGTTTTGGTATTTCATGTGGGAGTGTACTTGGTGGTCCTGACTTGTAGAACGGCAGGTTTACGCTAACAGCCTCCTGGAACAAATGGTTGATTTTTCTGAGTATCTATCTATATTTATCCATCTATTTATTTATCTGTCTATTTTCTATCATCCTCATTATCTAATCCTCCCTCTTCATCTCCCCCTCGCTCTCTCGTGACCTCAGTTCTGCCTCCGTAGATCTCAGTTCCTACGCCTTACTAACCTCCCTCATATACCACACAGACGTGGCACGCGGGGATAGGTTAAAAAGACAAGCATCCTTAGAGGAAGAAGACTGTAGTAAAGTTGTCTATGTATACAATACTCTATACACGGTGTGAGGTAACAACAAATAGACAGACAGGGTGAAGCGGAAGGGCTGATGGTACAGTTAATTATGGTGTTAGCCAATTAAGTAATTAACGTTAAGCGGGGGCTGGGGGGAAGGGACTCACATCTGCGTCAGGTCACCCACCACCCAGGATGACATGACGCGAATCCCACAAGTTCTCAACACATCCCCAACCCCTGAAGCTTTACACGTGATTATAGTTTTTAATCGTAGAACGACTGTTGAACAGATAATAACTACGAATGGTAGTAGGGTAGTAGGTGAATTGACTTCCTCAAGGTACTCGAGCATGGTGACCCCTGGGAGAGGACCCCCCTCCCCTCCGCCCACGGAACCTTACTGTCCAATGAGTGGCGGGTGCGTGAGGTGGAGTGAGTGGAGCCAGGGCCACCTCGCGGCCTTGACTAACCCGGCCAACACCATAACCTCTGCCACACTTGAGCTCCCACACACACTCACTCACTCGACAAACACTCAAGACACTCGCTTTGACTCCTGAATATTTGATGAATTTTTTGGGGTGCGTGAATGGATATGCAGGACTGAGGTCTCTGAAAAACAACTATTTTCGAAACGGTATACGAGATATACACAAGTAAACTGAGCAGTAAATAATTAAACAGGCCTCTTTGATGGTGGTTAACCTTAATTAACCCAGGAGGGAGGGAGGGGGGGGGCACTAGCACATCAGGTGGTTCAGAGGAATTGTAAATTGTGAGTCAAACACATTTTATAATTAATGTATTCTGTTTGAAGTAATTTTTGGTATATTATGTTTGTCAGTTAAATATGACGTGTGTGTGTGTTTCAAAAAATCGCGCCAGGAAGCTGCGTTCCGCCCCTCTCCTCTGACGGTACGTAACTTACACTTACTTGATGAAGCGATTGTGTGTTGGGGGAGGGGGGGAGCTGTGCCCCACGGTCGGGTAGACGTAGTGACTATGCCTCATTTGGCTGTTTACTCGCCAGTAAGCTTGTGTTTGTGTCGCCACACACGGACAAGAGCAGCCCGTTATGGACGGTGATGAGGCCCTTCACATGGCGAGGTGGTGGCGCGTACCCGCTCCCAATGCTGCTACTGCCTCATTATCAGAAGCCCAGGGTAGTCGGCTTACCCACAGTAATTGGTGGCTGCAGTAGGACGGCTTGGCCATGGTGGGCAGACAAGAACTGAGGCGGAGGGGACAGGTGGGAGAGTGGAGGGGGTAGACAGAGGGGAGAAGACGGAGAGAATGAGACAAAAGATTATAAATTGCGAGACGGAAGCAGAGGTGGAGTAAGAGAGAGATATAAGGAGGGGGATAGAGAGAGTGTACTGTGATCACCTGAATGGTAGCGTGAGAGTTATGATTGAGCCTGTGTAAATAACGTTAATAACACCGTGTGACTTAATGTGAGAATTAACTCTAGTGACGAATAAATGTGAAAATGGGTGACCAATGGACCAGATGCAAACGTGACACAAACCTTTGAATTTATAAGGAAAAATCAGTGTATAACAAGGGACTGTTTACCAATGTCTCCAAGAGGAAGTTATTTATACACATCGGTAATATTTAAAACGTTTCTGGTAATATTATTTAGTACCAACACGTCAATAATGTGCTACGACCTGTGCGTGTATATATATATGTCGTTGTCTTGTCCCCCCCCTCCCTCTCTCTAATCTTCTCCCTCCCCCCCTCCTCTCCCTCATCCTCCCCCCCTCCTCTTTTATCTCTCGTCTCCCTTTCCCAGCATTCGTTCTTCCTTCCTCCCTCTTCACTCAATTGCTTCATCCTCCTTCCCCCACATTCGCCTCTCCCTCCTCCCCATCCCCCCCACCTTCGCCACTACTTCTTCACCTTTCCCTCCACCTTTGTCCTTCCTTTCCCCCACCCCCTCGATTGGAAGAGCTAGGGCGGATCAGAGAGTCATGCCGTGTGTGACTATGGACAGTTTCCTATGGCTCTCTCTCTCTGTGTGACTGATGGTGGTGGTAGGAATAGGAAATCGAGTCTTTAGGTTTATTAGCGCGAAACCTATCGTCTCTGATTGTGGGTGTGATTATAGTGAAACCTCCATGTAACGAACTATATGGGGAGGAAAGTTCATTATATCGAGGGTTCGTTAGATGTGAGACCTTTATTTAACGGACTGTATGGAGAAGAAAGTCCGTTATATCGAGGGTTCGTTAGATGTGACCCCCCCCCATCTAACGGATTATATGAAATTGGAAGTGTTATATGGAGGTAGGTGTGTGTGTGTGTGTGTGTGTGTGTCAGTACTAACCTAACCACTAAGCTCTGCCCCTTATCTCCGCACTTAAGGGATTGGCTCGCTGGCTGCTGGAATTCTATTGAAAAGAGACCAATGGTGACCAATCAACTTGTACGAATTGTGATGATCGTTCGGGGCGCCAGACGTAGACTAGAGTTTAGTTAATGGATAAATCCTGAACTTGTAGGAAATGTTAATTGGATGGTGATTTAAAGCTGATAATTACTTTGTTTAACTCGAGGTCACCTAACCTATCCTATCCTTTAAAGACACTTAAGATTACCTTCTGTTTATAAATAACCTGAGAGATTATAAAGTCGAAATATATTCACACTCACAGATACAATTACCACACTGAGGTTTACTACTGATTACTCTCAAGGTCACCTGGCCATTAAAGGAATGTATTGTCCAATCAGCACCTTGAGTTGGCAAAGGTCAAATGAGTTCAAATTTGCGGGACTGATTAACCATTAAGAGATCGGGAGCTAATTAACTCCCAGGGCCGCTCCAACTCCCAGGGCATTAAGGGAGTTTCTTTACTGTCGATACATTGAAATTGTAAACATCAAATGAGGTCAGACTTGAAGGATAATGTACAAGGAGATGGTTTAGTTGGAGTATATACGGTAGACCTAGAGCAGTGGTTCTCAACCAGGGGGGAATTCCCCCCAAGGGGGAACTGATTCGGGAGCAAGAGAAATCAATCACAGAATTTTAGCCCTTGATGTGCGATTCCTACCCAAAAGTGGCAGAAAGAGCTATTCGTGCATTGCTTCCGTTTGTGTCGACATGTCTTTGTGAGTCAGGCTTTTCAACTCTGTTGCAAATTAAAACGAAGCAACGTAGTAGATTAGAGGTAGAAAATGACCTGCGTTGTGCCCTTTCAAGCACTCCTCCGCGTATCCCAGAATTGGCGAAGAAAAAACAATCACAGGTTTCTCATTGACTGTAATCTTCATCTGAATAAAATTAATTACAAATTTACAATATCCTGGTATTCTATTAAACTTTTTGTTTTTTGCATTATGCTTCAGTTTGGTCTGTTAAGTAATTTATTATAAAAAAAAAAAAAAATATTTTACTTTTATTCAAGTTTTATAAATCCATCAACTTTTTCAATTGACATTTAATTTGTAAAACTCCACTATAAAAATATTCCATGTAAAATTGTAAATGTATATGTACTAATATGGAAAAAATAAAGGTTTTTCAGTATTATATGCATATTATTTGGAATGCACTTTTTGAGGCAGACAATCTTGGAAAGGAGGGGGGAATGACATCCTGACATATGGTGAAAGGGGTGCATGGGGCAAACAAGGTTGAGAACCACTGACCTAGAGGGAACATGGAGTGGCAGCGAGGGGGCATCTGTGGCTTCTGTGACAGCTGCATTAATGTGGTGGTTAGCGGGACACCATCAATTACTACGACCAAAATGGAAGACAGTTTTCATCGTCCAAGGAGAAGTTACTTATACCTTACTGTATAAGCTGGAGGAGCCAAATTAATGAAAATATACCGCAAATTTTCTTGACTTGGATTAAAGGATTTTTTTTTTATTAAACTATATTGGATTTGTAGTACCGTGTGTTGTGATTTGTGGTACCGTGTGTTGTGATTTGTAGTACGGTGTGTTGTGATTTATTTTATGTCCTCGGCAACGAATGTTCGAGGGGGGGGGGCGGGTACTATAGACTACTAGATTGTACTGTTCCGTCCCTCCTTCCCTACACTCGAGGTTGTATATACTGTAGTAGTGTGTGTACAATAATCAACTCTTTATTTGTCATGTTTTTTTTTCTGTTGCGTATTATATATATCTTAAGATGTGGCTCAGGATTTTGTCACTGTGATTTAATGGGATTTTGTTAATTGGGTCGTGACGAGAGGATTTGTATAGTTCTAATTATTTCAATATTTTTTCGTGTTTGATTTAGAATTTGGTAAGGTGTGGATAGTACTACTGGATGCTGACACTATTTTTGTGGATCCCCGAGGCTGGTTTGTGTCTTCCCCCTGGTGGCCACAGTCGGTCTTGGTCCAGCTCAATATTAAAAGTTTTTGCTTGTGGCCTGGGCATGTCGACCATGGCCAGATATTTTATTGTACGCTTATTTCGTTTAACTTTCTTTATTGTTGTGATATTTATTCATTTATTTAATAATTGAAATCCATAACACTAATATATTTTTCTTCTTGTTTATGCAGGTAAGTAGAGAGAAGTGGGTGAATGGCAGCGTGATGTATAATGAACTGGAAAATGGTGGAGAGCAGTTTACCGCAATGAGGAGGGTAAGTAGTGGTTGGCTCGTGCACTACCTTCTTGATGTTGTCATGTAGATGTTAGTGTAGCTCCCTCCTCTTGTCTCAGTCCTCTCCCAGAACAGTGTGTCATAAACATTTTTCCGGTATTAGCTGCTGGGAATGGTTCAGTGTTTTTGTAAGATTAGTTGTATGTTTCTCCACCAGAATTAGTTGGATGTTAAATAGATGTGGTTAATATGTTAGTAGTCTAGATGGATGTTTGTAGGTAGGATTAGTTTGTTGTTTGTTAAGTAATGTTTATGGTTAGATAACATGTTGTTGGTCCCGTGTCTTGAAGAGGTCCTGTGTTAAATTGGTTTAGTGTGTCGTGTGAAGGTTACCGTACCTGCCTCACTCAGCTCCTAAAACGTAATTGCAAGGTCAGCCAGCCCCTAAAGTTATAGTGGCAGTTCCTGTTGGTTACCTGCGAGAGTACGTTCAGGGGTGGGTGTCTAGTGGTGCTCAAGGGGTCGTGTTACGCCGGCTCCTTGAAGAAGATGTTGGCACTTGTTTGGATATTACGGCAGATATTATCTTCAGCGTATAGCCACATTGATTTACACAAAGGTGGCAGGACCCGCACAATACACCACGCACGGTCTTGTTCCAGAGTGGAAGGAGATGCATTTGTACGGTGGATGAAAGAGCGTTTTCTTCTTAGCAGACAAAAGCATAAACATTAACATACTAAAAGGGACATTAAAAATCCTCTGTAGGTCCTACTTGGGATAAGGAGGTAGGCCTATATGACTGGTAAGCGTTGTAAGAGGTGCAGGAAGGTGAGAGTTGAGAGAGGTAGTGACATGCGTAGAAAGTAATTAGAGGTGCTGAACGAGAGAGAGGGATGGAGAGGTGCCAGAAGAGGTTAGAGGCGTAGTGAGAGTACTCGGTGAGAGCTGTGGGGAGTGGAGCAAACACTGGTGTGTTTAAAGAAGCTTTTCCTTGGGGCAACGCGCTTAAAGTGGGATATACTCTCCAGCCCCCACACTAGGTGCAGCAGTCCCACCGTCCCCCACACTAGGTGCAGCAGTCCCACCATCCCCCACACCAGGTGCAGCAGTCCCACCACACTGTCACCACACCTACAGCTATAACACCTTCACGGCTTCACCACGTCACCACACAGATATGTCGCTCACCGTCGTCCCTCCTCCAGATTGATTTAACCCGGGATGAGAATTTTTATTTCGTTACATGAGAGAGAGAGAGAGAGAGAGAGAGAGAGGAGAGAGAGAGAGAGAGACTCTGGTGGTGATGGTAAGTGGTTGGTGACTTCTCCTGCCCTCCCTCACCCTGGCCTCGCCATTAATGAGGCCTCGGGTAAACATCACCTCCACACAGCATTCACTAGTTGGGTTAGGTAGTGTCCCCCACCTACCTACCTACCTCTTGGATGATGGGTGTTCAATAATCTTGGCACGTGTAACATACAAACACAGTATATTCCCCATAAGTTTTTAAGATTTAGCTTTGTAAACATTAAACTTGTGAAATTAATGTATTTTCGAGTTTTGCTACGAGTATGTGAGGTTTGGCATTAAAAACTAAGTTTACGTAGTTTTTTACTGAAGTTTTTCGGGATGAAAGTGGATTTACTCTGGCACTGGGGTTTTGACCGTGAAAACTATACCAGCTGTGATGAGGCGGCGTAGTAAGCGGATAGTGAGTGTTGATGTCGACCGGATGTGACGCAGGTTACATAACATTAATGGTGTACTTAAGGGAGGCCAAAGGTGATGGCAAGGGTAGCGTGCAGTAGTATACCTCCTTCGGCAGGATGCGCTGGTCAGTCTCCTCCAGGAATGATGTCAGGGCCAGGCACTCGTCTTGGTGTGTGGTGACGGGTCTCAAACCTCATTGGAATTGTCCAGTTTCCCTGTAAAATTTGTTTAAGTCTTGTACGTGCTTGGAGATGTTGCTATTGGGTGTGGAGGTGTTGTCATCCGTTTACGTGCGTCAGCAAGAAATGGACATCCGTTAACTACAAGCCCGGTCAAGGCGACGTTCCCACACAACCTAGGAGGTGCTAGTGCTGCGGAAGCTGCTTTTGGCTCTGGTTTTATAATGAACTGTTCCTTGCACATCGTTATCCAGACCTTTGTTGCTTTCAGAAAGGTCGTCTAAAAGGAAAGGTTTGTTGTTGACACACGAACGGACTATGACTATGAACACACACACGCGTTTATATCGTGTCACCTGTACCCCCAACAGCTGCACCTCGCCCACGTGTTCACCTCCCCGCCCCACCGTCAATATTTACAGCATTTACCAAGTTAAGACGACACGGTTACAACTTAGCCTCCGAGGCGGGAAACACAGGACCAATAAGAGGTGGAAAGTGTTGAGTGTTAGCGTCCAGAAGTTTACGTCGTGGTGTGCTCGTCCTTGACACACACACACACACACACACTGGTGGTGGGGAAGGTGTCAGTGTTGGTGCTGCTGGTAATGATGGTGGGTGACTTGGGTGGTGGTGGTGGTGATGATGGTGGTATTAGTAGTAGTGATGATGGTGGTAGTTTCGATGATGGGTGTGATATTAGTGGTGATGGTGGTGGTAGTGGTGGTGATAGTGGTGGTGATGGTGGTGGTATTAGTGGTGATGGTGGTGGTGGTAGTGGTGTTGCTGGTGGTATTAACGGTGGTAGTGGTGGTGATAGTGGTGATGGTGGTATTAGTGGTGATGGTGGTGGTATTAGTGGTGATGGTGGTGGTGGTAGTGGTGATGCTGGTGGTATTAACGGTGGTAGTGGTGATGGTGGTATTAGTGGTGATGGTGGTGGTATTAGTGGTGATGGTGTGGTGGTGGTAGTGGTGATGCTGGTGGTATTAGTGGTGATGGTGGTGGTATTAGTGATGATGGTGGTGGTGGTAGTGGTGATGCTGGTGGTATTAACGGTGGTAGTGGTGGTGATGGTGGTATTAACGGTGGTAGTGGTGGTGATAGTGGTGATGGTGGTATTAGTGGTGATGGTGGTGGTATTAGTGGTGATGGTGGTGGTGGTAGTGGTGATGCTGGTGGTATTAACGGTGGTAGTGGTGGTGATGGTGGTGATGGTGGTATTAGTGGTGATGGTGGTGGTATTAGTGGTGATGGTGGTGGTGGTAGTGGTGATGCTGGTGGTATTAACGGTGTGGTAGTGGTGATGGTGGTATTAGTGGTGATGGTGGTGGGTATTAGTGATGATGGTGGTGGTGGTAGTGGTGATGCTGGTGGTATTAACGGTGGTAGTGGTGGTGATAGTGGTGATGGTGGTATTAACGGTGGTAGTGGTGGTGATAGTGGTGATGGTGGTGGTATTAGTGGTGATGGTGGTAACGTATAGCCTCGAACAATATAATAATGACGTTGTTTCTGACTTGGCTAGCAGGGTCGATAGAAACTTGTAGTTTTGTTGTCTGTAATAATGATGATAATGGTGATGATAGTGGTGGGTGAGCGTGCAGTGGCTGGTACTACGGGGTGGTGGTGTGGTGGCGGCAGGGGACCAGAGTACCAGCAGACAGAAAGGCGCCAGTCACAGCTCTCTCACCTGGCCCCCTCACCCCCTTGGCTGGCTTGCTTGCTTGCTTGCGCGTGTGTGAAATAAAACCCCTCCCACCTTTACACTGTTGTACACTTTACATAGGGTTTATTATACAGCGTAGATAAGACAGGTTTGGTATTGTCTATATAATGTTATTTTAAATGGTTTGCAAGAGTTAGAATGTGTGTGTAGTAATGGTCTCTGTATTGAAGTGTCACCTCTTGCAGTGGGACTTACGACTCCCAAAAAAAAATATATGCGTAATTTATGGACACTTATATTATTTATATAATTTTTATTGTCCTTTACTGTGCTCCGTTTGGTAAAGATAAATAATATACCAGGAAATGTAATCAAATAGTTCATGTTACTTTCCTTGAACTGTGTCTCGTCTACGTGATAGTTCCTTCATTGTGCTTTCCCTGAGCAGTCTTCGTGCCAACCTGAGACAGTGTGGGCCTCCTTTAAGAAACTGTTCCATGGTCTTGTCTTCATTGCATAGGTTTTCTAGGTGTTGTTTGTGTTCTTTAATGGCGGCTCATCTTATAGTCTCCATACTGTATTTACTATTTTCTTTTTCATTAAACTCCTTATTGTGGGAAAGTAACCAGTGATTAGTTTAGAGTTTACACTCACCATTGTTCCTCGCGTGGCCAGTGTTAGGTGAGCAACATCAGGGGTGTGTGAGATCAGGTCAGTCAGGTGGGAACTGTAGGTTTGAAGCGTTGTCAGGTCAGGTCAGGTAGGTTAGTCCTACATTTTCACACCTGCTAACAATCATAACACTGCTATTTTTATGAAGTGTGTCAGTGATTCTTTAGTTAAGCAGTATTATAAGTTTGGTTTAATGTGATTTATACCTTTCAACATGTATTTGATAGTAATAATATACATAGATTGTACACACATTATACACAGTCTTAATGCACATTTAGTTCACTGGGAAGATTTCGTCTATTGCCTAACCAGGTGTTCACTCCTTAACGCTAACCTAACCTAACCCTCCGAGGTAGCATTAAGGTATGTCATCATCAGGTGAAATAAGCCTAAATCTTCACGTGGTCCTCCCTCCCACCCGCCACCTACACCAAGGGCCCCACCTCCACCAAGGGCCCCACCTACACCAAGGACCCCACCTGCACCAAGGGCCCCACCTGCACCAAGGGCCCCACCTGCACCAAGGGCCCCATCTGCACCAAGGGCCCCACCTACACCAAGGGCCCCACCTACACCAAGGGCCCCACCTGCACCAAGGGCCCCACCTGCACCAAGGGCCCCACCTACACCAAGGGCCCCACCTACACCAAGGGCCTCACCTGCACCAAGGGCCCCACCTGCACTTTCTTGTTACACTCGAAGGTTACTGTAACACCTGCCGCGTCAAAATTAATTACTAATATCCCGCCTGTTGTCTTAGAGCATCATGGTGACGTTGCTTCTTGCGAACTTCAACGTAGCGTA